ATATGATCATTAAATGACATTAACATCATCAGCTTAATTTGAAGAATATGAGGAAGGACATGAAGCATGGGTACTTGACAATGCTATCGCTTTAGGAAGAGTTCTTATCCTTTGTTCAACTTCACTAAATTTTTTTTGCAATTCAGTCAACTATGAATAACTTATTTTAGGACAAATCTTTATTCCATGACTAATAATTCTAACAAATGAGCTTTAACTATGGAGTATGATCTTTTATTAGTGGCATTACATTAATTGCATTTAAATGCAATATTATCACCACCTTAAGAAGATTTTTTTTTATTTTTGTAATATGACTTCACAAATGTTTTTAATCTTCCATATTCGACTTTGTTGAACCATTATCACTCCTAATTCCGCCACCATTAGAGCTTACTATTCTCTTAAAAAAATTGAAGGAATAAAAGAAAAGTACTTTTAACAAAACATGTTGAAACTTCTAAAAATGAATCAAAGGACCGACATGAATAATTTGAACAAACATTAGTGCTCTAAATACAATGCAAAACTAACAATCCAAACACCATATTAAATCTGTCACCGTAGACACAGATTCTTTGTTTGGTAGAAATGGAATGGAAGTGTTTTTACTTATAATATACTTTTGTTAAGATCAAAAGTGAGTTTTCATTATGAGGTTTAAAAGTCACATTCTTTTTTCAACATATAATTATAGAGTAAATATGGGATTAGTGGGATGTAATATTTTTAATTTACCATAACAAGTAAAAAAGATAGTTATTGAGAGTTTATATAATAATGAAATATTGTAAAACAAAAACAAGAATCGGATTTGCAAAAAGTGAGACTTTGTTAAACAAATAGAGACTTTCGAAGATCGACCTAATGAAGCTTATTTTTGGAACACAATTATTTTTTCTATGTTAATTGAATGAGAAGTCTAAAACAAGAATGAAGAATCATGATCAATATTACGTTAGTTCTGTATTATTAAATGTATTACCTTCGACAAGCAACAACAAAGTTGGAGAGTGCCGAACCTTAGAGGACGCCTTCAACATCTTGTGGATGGACTTTATCGACCTAAAGGAGAGTGTATGCGACAACTCAATGATAAGAACATGAGATATGTGAGGATAATCGAGTGGAAATCAAGAAGATTGAGAGTTACCTTCGACAAAGAAGACGCAAGCGAGAAAATTGAATGAGTTAGACGCCTTAGTTGTGAAACCCCTTAAGTAAAAAAAAGCTAAACTGATGAGGCCATCGATAGACATTTTAGGCAGGTTTACCGACGAAGGAATCTGATAAGCCCTAGGGTTCCCAAGTTTGGGTTTGCCCTAATGCTCCTTCAAAGAAAAGATTTCTCCTCCAAATCAAGGAAAAAATCAACACAAGAGGGATGAGATGAAGAAACAAAACCTTTGCATTCAAAATCCAATGGAAAACAAGATACAATTTGTCCACTTCGAGAAGGACAAGGTCTCCCACTACAAACCCTATAAAAACAAGAGAAAGAAACTAAGGAGGCTAAGAGAAAACTCAAATCTTGCATAACCCTAGAAATCCCCCCTTAATCCCTACTTATAGCAAGCAAAAGATCAAACCAAACCCA